GCGCAACGATGCTGGCTGGGCCATGGTAAACAAATGTTAGATGGATGTGAGAGAGACTCTGTATTGTCCCGTCATCATCAACAGCTACTGCTACGAACAATTCAAAGAAATTTTCACAATCGCACTGCTCTTTTACGTTTTTGATGCTGCTAGCACGAATTCTTTGCTACTGCCGTTACGACACTTTTCGCAAAACAATTTCACCAATCTGCAACGCGCTTGCCCCGTCACTTTTCGATTACTGCAATCGCGTTCCAAACACTCGATTTCGTAGGCCGACCTCATGGACGCGCCTACTCCCCAAACCTGGGGACTTGGGCTCAAGCCCAAGATCAGGTAAGTACATGTTCATGATGATGGAACATCTAGACATTTATTTCTTGAGTTCGGGAAACTGACATGGCGCGTCTCACAGCTTGAACCTGCCCCCGTCTTTCATCATCTTCTTCCCGGCACCCGACAATGGCACTTCATCTCATGGAAAGAACTCTACCGGTCTTCGCTACACAAATCTGTACGAAAATTGCATATGAAATTACACCAATGAATTACCTCATTTGACGGCTGAACTTACTGACTGTTGCTGGCATTTGTAGGTCTTGGGTTGGCGTCTTACGAGCACCAATTCCCTTCCAAAGAGAACCAGCATGGCACCGCGTCCCTACCGAATACCTCTCTTTGCAGAACACCAATCTTATCCGTACTGTCATGAGACGAATCTGTCACCCACAGCCACGTCTATATGGAACTCCCTTTCTCGTATCTGGGAACTCGGAAATTGCTGCCACCAAGCGCCTTGCGGCCTGGACAGAACCGACGAAATGCAAGATGCCCCCGAAGAAATCTCCCAGACTCAAGTCATTCAAACCGAATGAATTTCTTATCGCGTTTTGTGGCGGACCTGACTCTGTGGCCGAGACGACTCATCTCTTCATGAAAGCAAAGGGTAAGTCTCTTGGCAAAGTTTCTTCTTCGCGTTTGTACTAACGTGCTATCCAGTGGACATTGCCAATGGAATCCTGGAGATCGACACAGAGCTTCTTCGCGCCGAGCTCAGGTTTCTGCAGACACAGACTCATCGCTCAACTATTCCTGCTAAACGAGGCATTGATGGAAACGACTGTATCGAACGACGTGGGCTCTGGGGCGGATACAAGCTGATAACATATACCGAAGTCCTTCATCTCATTCGCATAGCCACTAACAGGGGTGGTAAGCGGATTACGTTTTTGGAAGGTTCCATTACTGATGTGGCCTACAATTTCAAAGAGATGGGATGTACAGATCACCGAGTGCGAATTTCGCAATGTGGCATACCAAAACTGCATGATATTGCAGATAAGACTGAACCTCTGAGCATGCTTGAGCTTGACAAGTTCCAGGACGAGTCGGGCAGATCGCCAACCAAGAAATCACCGCTTCCCACCGAACCGCTCAAGGCCTCTCCTCGTCATTTGAGCGATACTGTCGTCAAGCTAATGCCTGCCGCGAGCCCCCAAGTGGCATTTTCTCCTGTCAAATCTCCTGGATCACCTTCCACACCTTTTGTTGATTCGCCTTCTTCAATTGAAACTACCCGGAGCCCTTCGCCACTGGCTCCTGTCATCGCTTATGGCTCACCCTCTTCACCACTTGCTGATATTCCCTGCCTGTCTCCCGGTCCGACGAAGCACTTTTGTGCACCCTCATATGACTCTTCGTCCCACAGCTTGAACAACCTCACGAACTTGACCTCTTCACCTCACCTATCACCAGCCAAAGTATCCGAAACTATTGCGCAGACACCTTCGAAAGTGTCCAAGACGGAACCTTCAACTCCTTTTCAGACTGCTACTCCAGAGCAGAATGGCAAAGCTGGCCTGGGCCTAGTCGAATCCATTCCGACATCGACACCCATGCCCGATCAATCCTCTCTGCAAGCGATTTCGTCTGTTGATTCAGCTCAACTCAAATTTGGGCCCTCTACTTCATCTTTCAACGCCCCGACCTGGCTCAGTAGCACTATTACTAGTAGAGCTAAACAGACCACCAAAAAGATCACTCGACGCAAGAGTGAACCTGTGACTCGCAGCCTCGTCAGAACCCAGGCTGCCCGACGACAGACGATCTCGCCTCGCAAGTATGACTTCACGAGCGAAGGTGTCTTCGATACAGCCACTATACCAGCAGCACTTCCCGTGGCACAGCACGAAGCTGCATCCGATGGCCACTACCCTGTTCCCATGAACTTGGGTCGAACTCCCGAAAAACCAGCTTCCTCCGAGCCTACCTCGAATATGACGACACCTGCCATTACTTGGGGCAAAATGACAGGTCGCAAGTCTGGCGGCGGTGTCCAGAGCACACCCGCTCCGAATCGAGCCAGGGACAAGAAAGGCATGCGTAAAATCGACGTGCGCCGACATCCCAACATTTTTCGAGCTGCCGGTGCTACTCCCGTTTCCAGTCCTCCTGCAATCAATCGCTTGGCCGAGATGGCTGTCGAAGGCTGCGATGGCCAGGCTAAGGTCATGGTCACTGAAGAGAACGGCAGGCTCGTTGTTAGGTTTAAGCTACCTACCGAGTATGCATACTTATTTCCCAACAGTCGGGGCATGGACGAATCTCGTTTCACCACGACCCCTTCGGATATATCTTCATCACCACGAATTACCTTCAAAGAGGTTCACGAACTTCCCTTGACAGATGGCCAAGATTCGCCACGAGCTGAGCAAGCCATCCTGGCTTCTTCAATGCACAATGAAGACACCTCAGCCGTACCGGACTTGGCCACTTCTCCTGTGGTGACTGTTGAGGAGAATCAGGCCCCCTCCATCACGACTCCATCACCCGAAACCAAACTGAATACTTCATTCACACCAGTCAATCAATCAACTTCCCACGACGAAATGGTTTCACAGACGTCGCGCGGCTCTGCTCATCAAGAGCCTCACGCCGCTGCAAGTGGCAGCTCCACTCAGCATGGTAACCAGCCCGCTCTGCAAAACCATTACGAAGACAGCCCGGGACGCGATTATATGAGAGACTTTATCAAGCGAACTCATCGAAACCGCCTTTCTACCACAGAAACCGGATCTCCTATTGCGCCACCAGTGAGACGTGCACCACTCGGGATTAAGAGTCCCAATGTCGAAAGCCCCCAGAAGGGCAAGCGCAAGGCAGACACCGAGAACCAAGATTCTGACTCTTCGCTCAAGACATCTATTGCTCCTCTGCCTAAGAAGGTTCGACGAGTCAACAATCCTGGATCAGAGAAGAAGTCACTCCCCGATCCAAAGGGCAAGGCCCCAGAAGTTGGAACCCAAAACAATGATACGAAGACAAAGTCCATTTCGGCTACAAATGGTGGCACGACCACCAACAAACCCAGTGAGGAGGAAAAGGCGGAAACCGGCACAGGTTATCGCAGATCTACTAGATTGCGAGGACAGCAGCCTGGATACACCGCCAAATCATCCATCCCAACCCCTATCAATCTACGAGGTCGATCCAACAGTGGCCGTGCTGGATTCAACCACACTCGAAATGAAGAGAAGGAACTATCCAACAAGACTCGCAAGAACACTCTCAAGAATAGAGGCAATGCAGAGTATCCCGCACAGGTCTTGGCTAAGTACCAGGAACAGGGACTTGACGAAGAATCCAGCGAAGAAAATCGTGATCCTGAAGGACCGACCAAGGGAGCGAACGGCCGCAAGTGTGTTGGATGGAAGACTCCACTCGAAGCACACCAAGATGAAGATGCTAAGAAGTCCCGCATCGCCACCATGAAAGGCAAGGACATTGCAAAGGCAAGTGGCAGTGGCATCGCGAGGCCCACGCGAACCACGACCGCACAGAAACAGCAGCGCAACGCCAAGGTTGCAGCAACGCTGGGGATGTCCCAGAATGGAACTCCAGCAAAACCAAGTAGAGTTACACGATCATCGACTCGGGCTAGAACATGAGCAATTACATAATTATGATGAAGAGCAGGAAGCAATGAGGCGTTTATTATTGGTTTTTTTCTTCTTCTGATTTCTGGATATCCTTATGCTTGGTTTCCTGAGTTGTTTTTTTTTTTGCATATTCTTTATTCCTTTCCTTGATTGTGTTTCTGCATATTCTTATGCTTCCTCGTCTTACTTTGACTTTTGTCCGTTTGCATTGTTTACTGAGCCGGGATGACAGCATTTTGCCTCTTAGAGATATTTTTATGATTGCATACAGGCATTGCGACGGCGTTGAGTTGGATGGCATGAAAAAAAATCGAGCATTTGTTATCTTGTTGTCGTTGAGGCAGGGAAAGATACCATTATTAGTTTCGTTGTTGTTTGGAAAGCATGGCGAATGGCGACCACTCGTTTTCTTGTATATCAATATCAAGGCAGACAGAACAAACAAGGCAATTGCCCTCTGTAAATCGACTCTCTCATGGCAAGTGACATGTGTGTGATCCATCTATATTGGCATCGGTCGCCACTGACGATGCTCGTTCCTCAACCGGGGCAGGCTACAGGAACGGCATCAGCTCGCGGGATTCCGCCGCGCCGGTCGAAGGGACTTCTGGCTCCTGGACTGCCAACGCATTCGGTGTTTGCAAAAGTCTCGCATTTGACGAGCAGTATGCAAGGACCTCAAGGCGGTATCTATCCAAAGCACGTAGCCAAAGACTTTGGAGAAATCCACCGTCATACCAAAAATGGCGTGGCCAGAGGCCCCTTCCATGCACGGTCACTACCCCCTTCTCCTCGTACATCGTGTGATATCAGCGCAACCGTACACAAAGCATCTTCCCGTCTGCACATTTTGCCTAGTAAAGCGAAGCCTGCTGCGCACAGTGTAATCTTGGCGGTCGCACAGTCATGGGACCCCTCATCTTTTCCGGCGTGAAAGGAAACCGACAGCCTCAGTTCACAATGCTGCGCGAAAATGACATTGTATGGCGGAGCCAGTCTGAACCAAGTCGAACAGATTGTAACTAAATGGCCCATTACCCCAACATGACGAAATCACAAACAATGGTTAATGAGCCTGAAACGGTTCAGCTCAGGCTGGCATCTGGCCAAGGACTCGTTACACGAACTGTTCTTCAAACTGCCCCCAGAGACGCGCTGCCATCAGAAACACCCGTGATTGACATTTCCCGCGTCTTCAGCCCCTCCATCGACGACCGGCGTGCCGTGGCCAGGGAAATCGGAGATGCAGCCGCAAACATTGGCTTCTTCTACATTTCCAACCATGGCGTGCCCGATGCCGTCATCGCCAACGCTTACAAAACGGCGCTTGCCTTCTTCCGCCAGGACCTGGAGACGAAGCTGAGGGCCAAAATCGCACCGAGCCAAGGCAAGACGTCGGGCTACCGCCCCTTTGCCTCCCAACAAATAAACCCCGACGAAGGGGCTGACCACAGAGAGGCCTTCTCCTGGGCGTACGATGCTACATACGACCCGGAGGTGGGCGACATCAACGCGGTCCCCGAACATGCGCGCAAGTACATCATGGCGGACGAGTCTCCCTGGGAGGCCACGTCGTACATGCCCGAGCTCAAATCCGCACTCGTCCTTTACTTCCAGTCTTGCCTGGCGCTGGCAAGAGCCCTCACCCGCTCCTTTGCTCTGTCGCTGCATCTCCCGGAAGACCATCTTGACTCCAAGGTCAAGTACCCCGACGTGATGATGCTCCTGAACTACTACCCCAAGAAGGAGCCGCAGTCACCCGCCGATGCACAAAGACAAGTGTCGATGGGATCCCACACCGATTTCAGACTGTTTACCATCCTGTGGCAAGATTCTACAGGCGGCCTGCAGATTCTCAACCGGGGCGGGCAGTGGATCAACGGCCTGCCTGTTCCTGGTACATTTGTAGTGAATATCGGAGACTTTATGCAGAGAATCACCAACGATCGGTACGTGAGCACTGTGCACAGAGCGAAAAACCAGACTGGTCAAGAGAGGGTGAGCATTCCGTTCTTTTGGGGCTTCGGCCTCCAGGAGCGCTGTGGTGTTTTGGAGAGCTGTGTCGGCGAGGGGCAAGGGCGGAAGTACGACGAGATTAGCACGCACGAGTATGTCAGTAGTAGGTCGAGACAGTTGGTGACCTGGGGGAACGAGATGGACGACTGTGATGGGGTCGGTCTTTGAGTTTGATGCGAGGTGAGCCGTCGCGTTAGACCTGCAAGGTGCTGCGGGTACGAGAACATTGCGTCTCTAATTGGCGCGAGAGGATTGTGCATGCGACTTTTAGCTTGAGTGCATATTCTTCCCGAAATGGTTTATTCTGCTTGGTTTCGAGATCGGGATACAAGACGCGCAGCGCACATTTTTGTTTTGATGGGGTTCATACTGCAACCCTTGTAGCGTCGTCCCAGAGCTTCGTGTAACTCATACACATGGAGAATACAGAACGCCATCCTGTGCCCGTCACATTACTTCAAACTTTTCTTCCATGTCCACATCGTCCGTCGGCCGTGAGCTCGCCATTGTCGCCCATCCTTGACGAACAGGGACGTGGGACGTCTTCTTGCTCTGTTCAGCTCTCACCGACTGTACAGGCTTTGATGCTGGTTCTTGTTTGACCTCTTCTTCTTCTTCCTCTACCCCTTCCTCGACTCCCTCTTCTTCTTCTTCTTCGCCCTCGCCCTCCTCTTCTCCTTCCTCGTCGTCGTCGTACTCTTCTCCGTCTCCGTCACCATCGTCGTCATCATCGCCATTCTCGTCACTAGAGTCTCCGGAACCTTCGCTGTCCCCTTCGCTACCAGGATCGTAATCTTCCTCATCTTCATCCTCGTCGTCTTGTAACTGTTGTTCAGCCTCGAGTTGCGCTTTCTCTAGCTCGGTCCCACCTTCAGCAATGCCACCTTCAGCTTCATCTGAGCCTTTCTTTGGGCCCCTGTTTTCAGCAAGTTGGAGCTTGGCCTTTCTTTGTTCTGCCATGCTTCGATCCTGCAGCCGGTTGCGCTTCACGTAATCGTCAATACCTCCGTAATCCTGTTGATCCAACATGCCAAATTCCAGTTCCTCGTTTGGTTCACCCTCTCCCGAGAAAGTCTCCACCACCATGTTGAAAGTAATTTGCAGGATATTAGTGTAACTGATAGCAGCAATGCGGTTCAAGGGAATGAAGATCAGGGGCTTCTTGAATCCCCACAGGATGCCGTTCTCAAGGAAGAAAAGATAACCGTCCTTTGAACCACGGAAGCCACTCACATGCACAGCTCTTTCATTCGGTCGGTGGGGCTGGCGAACAACGCTGTGAAATTTGTTGGGATCTGCTGAAATAAGATCAATGGCGTTCCCAGCGGCTCGCAGCCGCCTGTCAAATGCCCAGTGGAAAAGTGACTTGTAAGTGTCTGATACCGCAGCAGCAGCCGACGTTTCGGTGCCGCCAATGGTGCCTTCTTTGGGTGCCGTAGCGGGAACTGTGAAGACTAACGGCTCGACGGTGGGTGGATTGGTCCTTGATGGGAGGCATGTTCCTCGGGGAAAGAGGACATAGTTGTGTTGTATTTGGGCCTTTTCTGGCACAGGCAAATAGAAGAGGTATTCTATAAAAAAAATTAGGGGTCTCAGAACTTGATCCCAATAACAAGAAAAATGGCTCGCAAATGCCTACCGATATCCTTCCAAGCATACGTTATGCCTGGAATAGGGGCAGTTGTTCCAGGGACCCTAGCATATACAAAGTTTTGAGTAAGGCATATCTCGAATTTCTTTCTTTGGGGGACCGAAACCGATATCTCCTTGACATGCAATAGCACGGGCTCATCAGAAGCGTTTCCAGAGCTCACTGCTGCCTGTTGTGTGCCATTTGCGGTCATGGGAGTGTCGACTTTCCGCCTTTTCAGGGCGGGCTCGCCACCGTTGTGTAGTTGGTCGTAGACGTGGCCGGCGATTTCGTTGAAGAGAGCGATGCGTCCAGGCGAATCTAATACCATGCTCAGAATCTCCAATCACAGCTCAGGCATTGTTCACGGAGCTTTCTGCTTACCGGCGGCTCGTTTGATCCCCTCGATAATATCTGGTCGCGCCTGGAAGATCAGGCCGAGCCTCTGTGAATCGAGGGCTGTAGACATGGTGACGGGTTCCGTGCTTGCCAATTGACTTGTACAAACGTGGCAAAAAGTGATGGAGGAAGAATTTAGTGAGTTGGTTTGGGATTAAAGAAGCAACATTGCAATCACGGCCGTGGCCAGCGCGAGCAACAGAAGAAAGCTACCGACGTCGGCGCGAAACCTTGATGATTACATAAGAATTTTTGGTACATTTATGCCCATGTTGGAGAGAGGCAAAGCTCGAACGCAGGCCCACGAAGTTGGAGCTGCTGCCCCGCGGAGGGGTCCATTCTCCATTCCATGCATCCTCAGGTCTTCTTGAAGTGAAATACACCTCGCCAACCAAGTATCGCAGCCACTCAGCCACTCAAGCACCATAAGAGTGCTAGAGAATACCATCTCATCTTAGGGAAGGATTTGATTTGGGAGTGAGACAAATCGTTGGCAGAGCCATGTCGGCCCCATTCCCCAATCTTTACACGCATAGAAAGGTGGCCGAAAACGCAGCCAAAGCTTGTGACGTTTGCTACAAGCCAAGCACTTCCGTTCTTATTACGCCAGACAAGAAGGTAGGTTCAGATAGGTTGCATGTTGCATGTTGCATGTTGCTCAGGTGGTGCTTAGACTGGGGTTAACACTCATGCAGGACTTTTTCTATGTCTGCCCATCACATTTAAAGGACACCTACTTCTGCATCCCAAAGATTGACGAAGACGCGCTCAAGGCCAAGCGTGAGAAGGAAATAGCTGAGGAAACTGAGAAACTGAAGAAGGAATACGAGGAACGTCAACGCAAAAAGAAGGAAAAGGAGTCTAAAGATAAAGACAAAAAAAGCGACGACGACAAGGACAAGGACACGGACAAGAAGGATAGCAAAGAAAAGCAAAAGGAGACTGATATCTCAGCTCAAAAAGTGTGTACGCCATGGGCCTTTTTCGTCCATCATCTAACCTGTCAATAGTCCAAGGACGAGGGGTCCAGCACACCAAACGAGGAGCCTCGTGTCTTTGAACTCAAGAGGTTTGAACTCTGATTGACCTTTGTTTCAAGTGTCTATCGCACTAATCATGTCAGTGCATTTTACCAACAACGTCTCCAAAGAAAACGACAGGCTGAAGCCGCAAAGAGAGATCGGGAACGGGTTTCCCAACCTGGATACTTTCCATCTGTCCCATCTGCACCCCCCGCCAAATAATATCATATAGCATCTTTTGCACTCGGGAACACAATTCAGGGGATTACTTCACCATGCAGAAAACAAGAGAGCTGGTTATGGGACATTAGCAAGGTAGTAGTCGCTACAATCATCTTCACTCTGTCGTGTTGCATTCTCATGCCTTTCATCATCAAGGGGTGTGTAGGGCCCGAGCACTGCAGCATTTTATGAATTATCCGGATGACTAGATTTTGTTGCTTCAGTTTCGGACAGACATAGAATTTCAAGATACCCAAATTTTACTAATCGGTTTAGTTCCACGGTCTTCTCACATGGGCGTTAGGGCTCCTTTGTCACTTCTCGGCGACGCTTCAGCAGACTTGTTCCTTTAGCATTGCCAGACGCACAGCAGCTTCAAGGAAAGGCCGAATTTAGTTTTATATGCTAGATGATACTTAAACGAAGTGTCTTGTGAGCGGTTCATCTGAATTGATGACGCATGTGCTGACAACGACTGTTCGCCGACGAGATTGACGACCGTTCCCAAAGTCTTATTCGCTGAAAGAATTTGATAACCAGCAACGAGATACGAACTTGCCGTTTACCAACCAAGCTTCATCAGATCAGATAGCGCTGATACGAGAGATCTTGGAGCATCTAGGCGAATCGGTACTCAAAAGCTGACTCGTGGCGCCACATTGCGAATGCTCACTTTGACTTTACAGCCCCCTAGACCTGAACTCCATGCGCAACTCGATGAAGAGCTTCAAGCAAAAAGGAGGACCCCTTATATTACACTACTAAGGCCATGAGAAGGACACAGAAAAGTTGGTCCCGCTCACAATGCAAAAGCCTACAGTGGCCTTGACTCTATTCGGTCTAACTTTCTCTTCTTGCGACATAATATCATCTTACCCGAGGCATCCGGGAATCTGGCATCGAAAGGCATGGAGTAATTTTGCGCCAATTGAAACAGAGAGTTTCAAATTGCTATCGACGAACGGCAGAGTACATTTTTTGATATTCTCTTCCCACCGAAATGTGGCGGAAAGCTGAGAGTGCCCTGATATTTGTCGACGGGGACTGGAAAGTCTAAAGCAACACTAGCCGCCTTGCTTGACAAATGTTGACGGACAATTTTCAGCTTCAGCAAGCCACCCCCGAGGAGGATTCTGTCACAGCCTTCCCACCCCCTTGGGTCGCAATCGAAAACTGCGAAGTTGGGCAGCGTTTTCCTCGCGGCTTGCACTGAGACATTGCGCAAATTTCGCTTCAAGACTTGAAGAGCCCGGCCTAACGCAAGGGACAGGGAGTGGGATAATGCATTTTGGCAAGTATGCTTTATTCCGGTGGCCAAACAGATGCGATTCCTCCCCGACATGAACCTGGGATTATTCACGCACCATCAGACCGCAGCTTACAAGGATGCTGCATTTTGACAGCAACAGGAGGACCCCAAGCCCGGCACCTACTCCCGGACTCCTACTGTCGGCCGATTCATTTTCGAGCTGTTCCTGGAACGTTGACGGTGGAAGCACCAGCCCGAGTCACCTAACACCAGACAACTCCCCCAGAGGACATTCCGACCTTGCCAATCAACATCTAAGCGAGTTTATTATCGCACAATTAGTCGCCTATGAAGCCAAGTCAGAGAATGTATGCTCAATGAATAGACAACTCTATCTTATTGTTAGCAGCCGATCAATAGACAAGCCCAAAAAAAGCCTCTACTAAGTCCTAGATAAAGCCATGTGCTAGTTAAGAAGAGCGTTGGCGCTGGCCGTCCGATGCAACCCTACTATGGCGATTGTTGCCTATTTAGCTCGACGCTCTGGCTGCAAGATACAGCCACGGCTATCACAAGCTGCGGCCCACATGGCATCCTGCACGGCTTATGCCATGCGGCTTGCTCTACGGGTGTGTTTAGTTTGCAAAAGAAACAAGTTGTTCAATCCCTTGATGATGAACAAGTGTGATCCCAACAGGTGGGGGCCAAATTGTTCCCAGAGAGAGGGATCTGTGTCTGTAGATGACATCTTGTGGGATGAAAGACGACAACAAGGAGAACCCTGCCACGAACAAGCGTAAGAGGGAGTATCTCGACCTCCATCAAAAGGTACCACAAGCCATGCTCGTAGGCTTGAAGCGGATCCAGAAGTTGTTGATATCTGAAGGCTAACTAGGTTTTGGAGTCCCTCCGTCTCCGTCGTACGCAACCTAGCCGGGCTGGCCCCGCAGCTTGACATATGCGTCTTTCGAGCTCTTATTTTGCAATTACCGTTTGGCTAGGTACCCCGGCTTAGAGACAGCTTGCTCGGTGGCTGGCCCCCGAGAAGTCTTGAGGTGCAACAAGGAGTAATGCTTGTAGTCAGCTCCGTCATCCTGACTATGGGTTCCATTTTTTTTCATTTATTGCGCCTTTGAAATAACCCAAGAACATGGGGAATTAGAGCCTCAATATTGAAATGCAAAGTAGTCGGCTTTATTCGTAACCTGCAGCTTTTCCGGCCTATATCCCATGTACGTGGAACCCGCACGTACACATTCTATTCAGGTGTGCGTTACGGTTATGATATTCCTCAAAAAAATTAGATCACCATCAGTTTGAGTTGGGAAGGCTTCGACTTCAGGCTTCCCCATCCACCTCACGAGCAAAACATGGAACCAGGGTGCGTAGGAAGTCACGATCAACTTTTGCTTGGGCAGTGTCTCGCCCTCACAAACGCTCATCGGCCATTATATATCCTCCACCAAAACCCATCAACTGGCGGTATGCCCGTAACCCGTAGTCTAGGATCGTGACAAAGTCCCCCCCTCCTTTTCTCCGCGGTGCCAAAGAAAGCTTGGCTGCTCAGCTGGTCCAGTCCACCCTGTAAAAACATTGTGGTCTTGAGCCCCGTTCCACGGACAAGGATATATTGAGACAGGAGCCCTTGAAGGTTCCGGATCAAAACCATCTCCTAGCTTACTTACTTCAGGGCCCCAGAGAGACGTACCATACGAAGGGGGGCTACATCGACATTGTAGGGTCGACTGAAAGTGAAACTTGAGTTGGAAGTCAAGTGAAAGAAAAGTGCATTTATACTCGGGCAACTCTGGGCGTGCGTTTGTCTGAAAGCCTGGTAGTCAAGACCGGGGCACGACGGCTCCAACTGTTGACATCTGCTGCTTTTCTGGGTCCGGAACTGCGGTCGCTCGCGTCAAGCACCTTAATGCCCAGATCAACTCGAGCAATTTATATAAAGACGTTGCTGCTATCGTTTCATGCTGCAGACAACGCCACCGAACAGAACTCATTCACGGGGCCCGTTGCTCACGATGCCCGGCTACGTGGAACGGCAAACAGGGGCAACCGACGTTTACTAACGGAGGAGCGTAAGAATAGCAATATTAGGCCTGGAAGTGATGTTTCCAAGTAATTTGAAAGGCTTCTTTTCAGAGTTCCACAAGGCGCGTCGAGCGAAACATCGAAATGTCTATAGGAATCTCTTGTCGGGCTCACCGCCTAGTGTACGTTTCGTATAGATGGGCGAGGGGGATTACCTCGTTGTTGCCAAGGTAGACAAAAGCCGAGTCCAATATGAAACAAAAAGTTATCTTCTGATACGCCCTTTTACCTTTTTCTTTTACAAAAAGTTAGTCCACCTTGCAAGCTTCGGCATCTGCATAGCCAACACATGGACTGTTTCTCAAGCAGACGTGAAACTGGGCATCTGAGTTGACACAGGTAAAAGCGGCACTGAGAAAGGCATCGACGTCAACGGGTATAACAGGCCAGGCATCAAAGCCCGTGCCGTATAGCCGTAGGAGCAACCCTCTCGACTATATTGGAGAGTCCCGTCCAACCGTCACCCGCAACGAGATGCTCTGCATGTCCAGAGTGCCAACTACAGGGCATGCCAGGCAGTCTCTTAGCTCGTGCAGGCTCATGTGCGTCAAGTCCGAGCAGGAGGTTAGAGCTTTTGTTCGGGAGGGGGGCGTGTGCTTGTTGTTGAAGCCCGGAGGAACGGGTACTTGGGGCGCATGTACCGTCGACGATGGTGTCATGGGTAGCAACGCAGCTTGGCGATGATGCGGGGCCCAACAGCTTGACAGGCATGAGAAGAAGAATGCTATTTAGTCTTTGGCGACGACAGAGGTGGTGGTGAAGGAGGTGGGAGAAGGCTGAAGGGAATCTATGAAACACGACGAGCGGGGGACGCGCATATGAAGCGGCCTTTCACCCAACACCCTGCGTGCTCTGCGTCGCACGTTCGGGGGATCACTCATCATGACACTGCAGTGGCTGGCGTAATAGGGAATGGCCAGCCCTTTGACGGATGCTTACTCCGAGGATGGGACGAGGCTGGGCGCAGACTCGACCAGCGTAGGACCAAGGGCACATTTTGCTTACGCCAGTGAACCTCATCTTCATGCATCATCACGCGCGCTTATGTTTGCGAGCAAAGACACGGCATTGTGACGCCTGAGATGAGATTCAACCTAACCGACCTAGATGCTTCCAGGATCCTGGTGGCATGGGGCCAGTGTTGTTGTTGGGCCGGAATGACAACTTGCACAATCATGATCCTCTTGACTCGGGAGGGGGAAAAGGCTGCACTTCTCGTTCGCCAATATGCAGTGAGATTTAAGGCTCTCAAACCGTCTCTCTCCTCGGTTGGGCGTGACGGGATCGCGGGACCAACCGCGTGTCTGCTGACGGACTGGTACGCCCCCAAACAAAGATTTCCAGATGGCAGTGTTTTGCTCAGGCCAGCACCACTAGATCCGGATCCGGACCTCGGGCAACAGAGTCTCGCGACATTTCTTCAAGGTTGAGGGACGACAAGGCAGCGCGTGCTGCGGCAACGGCTGAAATGGAGGCATGGATGCGACTC